ATTGTTGATGATATTCGGGAGGGGTTTTTGTCTACTAAACAAACAGGATTTATTGTAGCAACATAGCCAAAGTCAGCCTGGTATATATTTAAATTTTATCAAGGGTAAAAAAATCTGAGGCTGGCTAGTAATTCTGACTCTCAAGGGCATTGTTAGTTAACAAAACAAGGGATAGTTTCTAGTAGAAAACTCACAGGAAATCCTTTCTTGGAAACAAGTTCTTGGTTACTTTCTCCCCAGTCAGGATTTTGCTCGAACTGTGTTTTTTAAATTTGAAAAACGTGCTTCAAGCTCAAACCAAGATTCTAAATTGACCAATTGATTGAATTCCTCAAAGGTAGCCATCTTGTGAAGGTGAACTCTAGTAGTTCCTTCTTCTTTCAGAGTCTTGAGAACATCAACTAATGCATGAGCTGATGCATAGAGAGCTGTGAGTGGATGCACAATCAAATGAAAACCCATTGCTTTCAGCTCCTCTGGTGTGTGCAAGGGCGTCACACCACCTTCAATCATATTACAAACCCTGTACCCATTTGTATGGCATCCAATCTCCTTGAGCTCATCATCATCCCTTGGTGCCTCCACAAAGCAGGCATCAGCTCCAGCCTGCAGAATATAGATTTAAAAAGATAAAGCCATATACCCTACTCAGGCAAATTAAAAAATTCAGTCTAGTTAGCATTACACTCATCATGAAGGCATTAGCTACCTCATACCAGACATGGTAACATTTGTAAAGAAATAAGTTAATGTCATTTGCAAGCTCATCTTATCAAGCTAAACAAGACTGGTCAAGAACTCCACTCTACTCATGCAAAGTACATGAGTTAGAAAGAGAGAAAGCTTTTGGTGGCAAAGGAGGGTGTTACATAATACATTGGATATTGCAATGGAATATTAAATCATCTAGCACATAAACCTAATAGATGCTTCAAAAAATTGATAAATGTTAAAAGTTGCTTACCAACCAGCTACAAGTTGCGGACTGAAAAGCATAGGTAGATGAAGTTTGACCAAATTAGTATGAATCACTGAGTCTCATTTTTTGAGGATAAATGTGAAGGCCTGTGAAAGAAAGATGCATACCTCCATGTATAAATTGGCCCTATAAATGGCATCTGAGAGACCAGATCTTGCTGATGTGGCACGTGCATCAGTTCTAGCCACGAGGAAAAAGTCAGAATCTCCAATAGCATCCCTTGCAGATGCTATTTTAACAGCATGCTCCTCAGCAGGTATAACCTAAATGGAGTGGAGGCTGAATTAAGTGATACGAAAAGTTGCTGTCATTTAGACTTTGGGAAACCAAGAAATCTCATTATCTCCATAATATGACATGGTATGAGACTGTGACTAAGCAAGAATAAGAACACATAACTACCTGTTTGCCACGCATGTGCCCTAGTCAAAGTGTCAAATACATGCAGAGAAAAAAGCAGCTAGTATTCTTAGAAATAAAATAAAATCAAAAGATGGAAACAAATTATTTTGTGTTGGCAGCTTATCCAAATCTCATGAGAAGCCAGAGGTGCCGACAGCTGATACATACCGCACTTCTTTGGCCATGCTTGATCCTATAAGGATAAGTAAACAACAATATCAATGGACAGACACAAAAGAAAGCAAGAACTAATTTTCCAACATTGCAACCCAGACACGGATGCATCATCATCATCACTTTGCCAGGATTATTGAAACATGATTACATGAATAAGATTTTGCTTCATATATGTCAAAAGAGTGTGCATTCCAAATTCTAGATTTTTCTAAGAAGAATGACCATTCTATAGGGATACACATGCAGCATAGTTAATTAAGCACATACTTAGTGGCTATAAAAAGGTAAAGAGTTCTAATGTAGCACCTCAAGGAAGCAACCAGCAGCACCTGCTGCAATCAAATCCTTTATTGTCCTCTGAACATTGAGAGCATTGCCACCACCAGTATCTGAAAACATGCAAGTGAAGTAATTTGCTTAACATTTACTATAGCAACATTCATGATGATCAGAAAAATTAAAAATCCAGAAGCATACCAGCATCTGCAATAATTGGTATCATCGGAGCTGCCGCGCACACCGTCCTTGCCGTCGCCGCCATTTCCGGTGGCCTTAAAACATCAAATTCAGTATAAAGAAACAAAGTACCGAAATTCATAATATATATATATATATAGATATATATATTAGAGAAAATAAGAGGACGCACGTTAGTAATCCGAAGTCGGGCTTTCCGAGGAGAGATGCAGAGAGAGCGTAGCCGGAGATGAAACCGGCACTGAATCCGGACTGCTGTACAATGGCGGCCGA